AAACATCTCCAGAAGCCACATTTAAGTGATATGCATGTATATGGTTCTGCATGAGTACTCTTACTTTTGCTAAAAGCTAAAACTTTTGCCCTACTTAAATATGGAAAATCCCACCCACTCCCTCCTCCTCGTGAGATGGGTGGAAATAAGCAAGAAGCTCCACCTTATATAAAACTAAATACAATAAGTGGAAAAACAACTCTGCACTTTACTGCACGTCATTTCAGTCACAGCCGCTGTGGTCTGCTGACCATCATCACCTGACACACACTTATTTTCTGAGAGGATTAATTGTTATTAGTTATTGCATAACTGTACTAATGAAATAGTGGGAATATTTCTCTACACGTTTACAGAATCTCAGCCAGCATAAATCCGCATTACGTCGGCTGCAAAGGGCCTGGACTGGATTGGCTTAAACCAGGGGGACATCTGAAAACGCCAAGACCTTCTTTAGTGTTGCCTCAGAGTGTGGGAGGGTGAGAGCTGGCCGTATCAGTTCAGTCACTTGCACAAACATCCTTGTTTGATTCGATATCACAGCTGCAGACACTTCTGGGCAGATAATGGGCATTCCTGACCGATGAACTCTTCTAGCCTCGGTCTGTTTGACTGAAGCAGGGGCTAAAATTGCTACAGCGGGTTTAAAGCAGAAACATTATAAGTGTAAGAGATGTGGCACTGAAAGAAAACTGTAACAATAAGTGTTCACACATGAGTTACATAATGCTTTGTGTTTCAGAGTACTTCCCTGAGTAATTTTGTTTGTTCCTGTTTAGTTTCTGCTTAAAAATGTTTCCTTACACTTGATTTTTTTCTCCTTTATACTTAAAATGACAGCTCTGGTGTTAGATGATTATTATTATTATTATTATTATTATTATTATTATTGGTATCAGGGTCAGAATATAAGAAGTATAGAGCAACCATTACAATCCAAACACTTGACTCCCGGTTTCAGTAAACTCCTCAGTTTAAACTACAACAACTATTTTTATTTTTGTCAAAATTTAATCTTAGTTACATTTTTATGTAACTAAAATTAAGCCAAGCTAAGTGAGAAACAACAGCCAACATGCTTCTCACAGTTTGAGTTGAGCTGGTTGGAGCAGTGCATGCATCGTTCCAGCTGAAACGACTGAAAAACCTCCCAGTTGGCTTTTAATGAGAGGGAATGGGAGGGGTGGTAACAGCTGGAATACTGGAAGAATTAAATTCTGTAATTAAACGTTCAGAAAGCGTCAATAAATCATTTCAGGCTCCAAACCCACAGCAATTTAACCTCATTATGTGGACTCCATAGTGTCTGAGACTGAAGGCTTCTTCGTCTCCTACTCATGAGTTATGGAGAGCGAGGGACGACGGGAGGGCGGAGGACAGAAACAAGTAAACATTTGTCTTATTTCCTACAGCGAGAAGAAACGAGGAACACGGCGTGTTTTCCAAACATTCTTTGCCTTTTATTCTCTTCACAGTTTTTCAAAGAATCACAACGAATAATCATAAAAAACAGACTAAAACAAAATAAACGAGTGCATTCGAGAGCTATAGATGTCGTAATGCTGGACAGGAGAGAGCTGGAATGCTTCGTATAATGTTGCAGTGAATGTGTGTGTGGGGGGGGGGGTCAATTTAGGTCGCAATGGGGAGGAGAGGAAGCACACAAACACACACACACATGCAAACACACAAAAGAAAGGCTCACTGGCACTTGTAGGACGGGCATGCGTGAGGAATGCCAACTCACATCGCCGCCCCTGTCGTGTCCGAGCCCAGCTGCCCCCCGCCTGCTCTGCCGACGGCTGCAGTGGCGGGATCAGCTTCGAGGCCTCCGCGCTGACTCACAGTGAAACTCGGGGGGCGTGTGACACATCAGCCACCCATGTGGGATTTTTTTATTATTATTATCTGTGCTAAGCAGAGAGAGGGTTAACATTGATTCAGGTTTAATGGTTAACCATGTGGCCAAACTAACCCGACTGTAAACCAGCAGCGTCCCGGTGGATTACGTTTCACACATTGGGGCTTGGACGACTTGGAGGTCAGAAAAAACCTGACATACTGTATTTAGATCGACTAAAGATGGAGCGGTTAAGGTCTCACCGTCACACTTAGTAACCGTGTAAATGTTCCTCACAGAAGGAATAAAATATTTCGTCTTGAGAAGGTTTGAGAAAAGCTTCCTTCACAGCCTTGACCTTTCTGTGGACATATTACCCCACGAAGGTCGTGTACGAGTCCTAAAACAAATAAAGCAAGATGACAGAATAAATATTTTCTCATCTGGGGTCTAATTCTGAGACTGCGGGGGCTTTTGCAGTCACATCATGCTGTACCTAAATAACAGGCCTTACTTCCATGTTTAGAGTTTCTCTCTGCAGCACCCCTCCCCTACTCAGTCTACGAACCGATAGAGCCCCTCCCCCCGATGACTTTCTGTGACTTTTTTTACACATATTACGCATGTTTGAGTCATGGTCTGTCACAGCGCTGCCTTTGAAGCTCTGGTCACATGATTTGTGCCCCCTTAAATCCACCTAACCACCCTGCTCGGACCCAGCTCTGCTTTCCTAACCCCATAAACATTTTCTTTGCACTTTCCTCCTTTGCTTCACCCAACATCTACCTCAGTCCCTCTTCTCTCTTTTTTCTCTTCCCTACATTCAGAAGCCACTCTGCAATCATCTGACCACGAGCTCTCCTCAGCTCAGTTTCCTTTAAGTTGCCTACACGTCTCATCGCTCTTCCTAACAACATCCTACACACTCTCTATCTAACGTCTGAAATCTGTCTTAGTAAATCTCATCAAATCGCTTCGTTAGGTCTAAAGTTTGGTCGAAGACCCATTAAAAACAAACTGCTCAGAGCTGGGCTGCAGTGAGAAGTGGGGGGGGAGGTATGGGTCCTGTAATTAGCGCCGGCCTTGAGGGGACGCTGGGACAAAAATGCATGACTCAACAGAAAAAAAGGCAGAAGCTCTGCGTCAGCTCTCGTGCTCGTGGCTGATCTCAGGCCTTGGTTGTGAGCGGCCCTCCAGAAGAAAGAAGAACAACCCCCACTGTGTCCCACGTCACACCGGTGCAGGCCTGAGAAACATCTGGAACTGTTCGGTGAAGCACATCTGTGGGGAACATTTCTGCTCCCCAGACAGGAAGAGGAAAGAGGAGGAACATTCACCAAAAAAAAAGAAGAAGAAGAAGGAACAGGAACAGGAAGTTCACCTGGTCTGTGGCATTTAAATGAGGACATTCAAACACAACATGCTCCTTTGTGACTGTCGGGGGAACGGAGCGAGGGGGGGGATGCAGTGCTTTTACCAATTTTAGTATTTTTAAAGTGAGGTAGGGCAAACTTCAACTTTCAAAGGGTCCACAGGTCCTGTCTCGTTGCAGGAAAAACAAACAAACAAAAGAAAAAGCAGCATCACGATGGTTGGACGCCGGCGTGTCGGGCACGCTGATGAAAAGGTCCACAGAGAGATGAAACTGGACATCCTGTCAGTCACTTCTCCAGCAGCTGCTTCCTCTGCTGTTCCCACAGGGCCTCCAGGTGATCCGCCCTCTTCAGAGCGGCCTATCAGAGGAGAGAGCCTTGTTTAGACACGTCTGTCAGTCATTCACTGTGCTTTCATATCATTCACGCCCCGACAGGCAGACTGCACGTCCCGTCCTACCTCGTGCTGCTTCCGAAGATTGTTGACGGTTTCTTCCTTCTTCAAGATGGCCGATTTCACTCTGGTAACGCACAGACGAGAGGACGTTAATAAAACATTGCTGGGTCGTAGGTTTGGATTTGCTCATTTCACTTCCCAACAATGGGAGCTGAAACATGTTAAACTGGTAAAAAATGCTTTTTGTAAATATGAGCAAGAGTGGCGGGGGTGTTGAAAGGTTTTTAATTTCTTTTTGGCCCACATTTGAAGAGGCTTTCCTTCTCTGTGGGCTTTAAATACAGATGTGTTTTTAATGATCTGCCTGTTTAAATAAAGGTCAAACGACTCGCTGCACCACCTTGTGGTATGAAGTGTGATTACACAAATGTACAGCCCCAACGATGGTTCAGCTCCTGCTGATACCTCTTCAACACAAACACAAAATTGTGGGTATAAAGTCACAGGAGCTGTTTCTTCACATTCTGCTGATAGAGTTAGTGCTGAAATATCTTTAAAAAAAGAAAAAAATCATTATCAGCTTTCAATTTTAATTTGTTACAAAAATGGAATATTTAGGAATAATACTTAATCTGAATATTGATGAGATTATGACTGATAATGTAGGAAAACTACTTACTAGGATTAAAACTGGGGCAAGCTGCACTTGACATTATGGGGTAAAGTAAATACAATAAAGATGGCAGTATCTCCTCTGATTAATTATTTCATTGGAATGATACCAATTTGTATTTCATCACAAATTTTCTTAGGATATGATAATATGATAAAACACTTCCTTTGGGATGGTGGTGGACCTCGGATCAATCTTGGTAGACTGTACCAACTGAGAAAAGACGGGGGTCTATCCCTACCCAACATAAAACATTACAGCATGTCATTTGAAATGTCCAAGCTGTGTAAACACTGGGCAGCAACAAATTCAAACCTGGACTGGGTCATAATGGAACGTGAATCGGCCTTTCCATTTACCCCCATTGAGGTGTTGGCTCAAAAACCGGACAATAAAGGGAATAGAGTAGATAACCCTATTTTAAAGTTTTCAAAAATGGTGTGGCAACAATCTGTCCCCATTCTTTCAAAAATATGCAGCCCTGTGACACAACCCAAAAATAGAAAAGGTAAACAAAAGATAAGATTAATAAGTGATTTATATGAAGATAACACACTCATTGTCACGGCGATGAGATGAGCCGTGTGGAAAATAAAGGAGGATCCAAATGCAGGCACTTGTAAAGGTGTGATGGTGGTTTATTAAACACAAAATAAAAATGGACAAAAGGCGAACCGAACAAAGACTAAACTATACTGGGAACAAACTGAGTACAGAACACGAACATGAACGAGAGCGAGCCGAAACAGATTGACAGCAGGGAAACGCACAGATGAAGCAGGGTGGATACACAGACGGACCAGCAACTACAAACACAGAAGACACGACTTAAATACACTCAGAAAATCACAGGGAGATTACACACAGGTGGGAGACACAGCTGGGAGTCATTAACGAGACGAGAGGTAAAACTGAACACACTCACATGAGACGCAGACCTTCACAATAAAACAGGAACAAGAAACCATCACACTAAGACGCAGACTCGACATTGAGAGACAGACAGAAAATGACACATGGAACTAGACATACTAAGCAGACGCAACCGAAGAACAAATCCTAAACACAAATAAACAGAAACATGAAACTCTAATAATAAACATCATAATCGTCATCATCAACACAACAAGAGAACAGGAAAACAATCCCTGATGGAAAATTAAACCAAAACATTATAAACTCAAAATACTGGGTAGAAACTGACCCAGAAACGTGACACTCATGTCTTTTAAAGATCGGACAGTAAAGTTTAACTTGGAAGAACTCGGCCATTTGTGGTGATACTAACAAATGAGAGACTGTCTGAAGGATCAAATAAAGTTGTCTCAGGAGAAAAATCTCATAGAGAATTTCCTTCTACTTCCACCCTCACTTACAAAGGCATTAAAATGGTATAATTTATGTCACTGGGTTAAAACCACACATGTAAAAGTCTTAAAAGTATTTGGGAAATAGATCTGGATTGTTCCTTTGACGAGGAACATGAGATTCAATCATCTCTGAAAATGGGTTTTACATTAGGGAAGCTAAGCTAGGTAAATGTATCCAATATAAAATTCTCAACAGGTACTATTACACACCAACGAGACTTTATAAAATGGGAATTAGTAAAGATGACCTGTGTTGGAAGTGCCAAAAAGCAAAAAGTTACGCTAGTACATGCTTTATGGGAATGTCCACTGGTCTCCTCAATATGGGAAAATGTTTGAAAATATATGAAGAGCTGGGTGAAATTTAAATGACCGAGATCACCGAGATTGAGCCTATTGGGGGACAGACGCGAGGTGCCACAGTTAGACAAAGCAGGCTTCAGAGTGTTAAACACTGTGTTTGTCTTATTTTAACACTTTGGAAAGAACCTCGGACTCCAACCCTGAAAGTGTGGAAGGAGAACATGACTGAAAATGCCGCATGTGAGAAAATGCTGGGAAGAGTGAGCAGCAAGACAGAGACTGTAACAGAACGATGGGACAGCTTCTGTTTTTATGGGTCTGCAGCATGATGACAATGTGAGATACAGTCTGAATAAGAATTAAGGGACTTGTGTGTGCAACAGTTTATTTATAATTAACCCCTCACTGAGTGTGTTTTTGTTGTTTTGTATTGTTATGTTATGTTTGTTTAAATGTTCAAAAATAAAACAAACTTTAATTACAAAAATAAAAGAGAAAATCTGTAATTTCAACAGCATTTCTTAGTTTTTCTACATAATAAAGAAACGTTGCTGCAGTAAATGAAAGAAATCTGAATGACTCTTAAACTTCTGGTGCCTCAGTGTCAGACTGTACTTAGAAAACAGAAAGTTTCCATTAATTCACTGATCTTTTTTCTTACTGTGGACACGCTGTAACGAGCAGAAGCTTCTATAGCCAACAGTGAAAAGCTGGAGCTTTTCTCCAATTTAATTGTTTGTCTCGTGTTTATTTACTTTGGAGTACTTCACATTTTTCAAAGATTCTGGCCCCCGGGCCTTATGTTTGACACCCCTGGTTTACATGTGTCACGATCTGGTCTGCATATTTAACCCTCAGTAAAGAAAAGAAAGCAGAGCTCTTAATATGTTCCTCAAACACTAAAAATCATTAAAAGCATCAAAGAGTGATCCTGACTGTGTATCAGACCCTCACAGTCACACATCGGGATATTTTCCTAAAGCTACACTGCCAGGTGCTTTGGGAGTGTGTTTAAGTGGCTAATCTGTGTGTTTGATATATGCTGTCACAGTGAAGTTTGCTGATATTAAACACAGCCTAAGCTTCAAATAACGAGGCCAGTGTATGTAGGCAGGCTTTACACAGCATTTCCTATTCTGTTGAACTCCACCCACACTCTGTTTGAGTCTTGTGAGGCACAGGAAATGAGAAGACAGTTGGCTTAACGGTGGTTTCAGATTGAGAATGAACTGAGGTGCTGCACTTTAGCATGTTTGCCTTCCTCGTGACATTTCCTGACATTAAGAATAAACTGAAATGCGAGCCTTGTTAAATAATATGTTGATAATTTAGGAAATCGTGTGTGTGCTGCCTTTGTAAGCCAGCCAGCTCCAGTTTCCCAGGAATCCCTTGACTTGAATCATCCTGTTACTTTAATGACCTGACCCTGCACCAGTGTCGGATGTCACCAGTGCTGCAGCCAGGTTGAACATCTGGAAAATTGCCACAGTGCCTGAATGTTTATTAATCAGATTCAGTGTCACAGAGCCGGCCTTCTGCTCAGGAGACAAACGTTTCCGAGCCGCGCTGAACGCCGCGTTCACGTTAATCAGGTCACCTTCAGAATTGCTCCAACCCTCTGTCCTTCTCGTGTTTCGCATCTCTTACAAACTGGCAGACATTCAGTGGAGCTGCTTAAGGTTCCACCTTTTATTAAGTCTGAGCTTCACTTTCGAGCTGCGTGCCAACATTCCTCGTTGCACCTTCAACAGGGTGAATCTGTAAGCAGCCAGCAGGCCTCTGAATGTTTGGACACTGCTGCTGGCCTAAATCCACAGGCAGACAGCTGGAGGTGGTGACTCACTCACAGCTTTGGCTTCAAAATGGTTACACACATAAAGCTAATGTCAGAACAGATCATTTAAAAATTACAGGTGGTGACCAGTGGTGCCGCTCAGCCTCCCAGTACAGATCGGTTTAACGTCAGACAATATTTTCACGGACCGGCCTTTAAGGTGTCGCGGAAAACACAACGAAATAAAATGATACGACCGAGACAAAAACTGTGGTATGTTGTAAATAAATAATAAACACAAATTCACTGTATAATTGTGTAACTTTATTAGCAGCGTCCAACAACATTGAGAGTAACGTCGTCCTCTCTTAACGATAAAAACCCTGAAAACCATAAATTTCCCACCCGAGCCTCAACTCTCGCGGCCCGGTACCAAACGACTCATGGACCGGGCCCGGGGACCGCTGTCACCTCGTTCTCCACTTATCACATTCACAAGATTTCCAGGAGACCTGACCTCTGACCTTAACCTTGAGCTCACTGAGATTCAAACTTGTCTGAGTTTTTTATTACGCTCACTCAGGAATCAGGTTGGATTTTCCCAGTAAATCCAAAGGATGTAATATTTGTTGTTTCTCAGTAGTTCCCAGTCTCAACAATGGTCCATACAAGTTAAAGGTTGTGTTAGTAAAGAATTAGACCTGATATCTGAAGCTTAATTGTGTTTTTAGGGGTTTAAAACTGAAAAATAATACAATTCACTTTTAAAATTGACCATTTCACTTAAAATCATTTTGTCCCTTCCAGCTTACCGTTGGTGGACTTCTGCCAGTTCTTCCTCTTTCTCCCGCGTGACCCTCTCCGCCTCCAGCCGCATCCTCGCTCGGACTTCCGACACCTCCACCTTCAACCTGTGATTCTCCTCCTCCGTCATCACCAAGCGGTCGGCAAACTCCTGCCTTATCACCTCCGCCAGGTTGCGGCGCTCTTCCGCCAACTTGTCCCTGGCCTGATGAGGGAAGTTGGAGGAATTCTACTGGATCTGTCTGAACATATTTTCTATTTCTGTGTCTACTTTCCACTGGCTAGTAAATGTATAACACGGCAAACTATCTCAAATCACTTGTAAGCTGCAGTTTTAGTTTCTCTCTCTGAATGACGCTCCTTACCTGCGTGATCTCTTCAGTTTCCTGTTCTTTCTGTCTAAGTGCGGCCTGCAGTCTGATCAGCTCTCCCTCCGTCTCCATTTGCTGCTTCCTCAGTTCCTGCTGCTTCGCCACCGCCGTCCTCTCAGAGCGCTCCAGCTCCCTCAGCTCGGTCTCGTACTTTTCCCTCACGCGCTTTAGCCTGTAAAAGGAAAGCAGAACACAAATGTGACGTTTAATATAGTTGTTGAAAACAAACTAAAGAAATGCCCAATGCTGTCCTATTAAAGCACATCCACATTGACACAGAGGGAGTCACAGCTACTAAATGGGCCTTGGATCCAAATTTAGGTAAAAGGGAACCTTTGAAAGTTTCTCACTGATATTTCACTAAATGATGACCCTTCATCTTCACATCTATGATAAAAAACACAGAGACAAATCTGCCACCAACAGCAGAAACTGTAGTGAAGCTTTACTGGGCAACAACACGATTGGTTGCTTTTTTGTATCGTATTTGTCACACTGTCTAAATTAGGCACACACACACACACACACACACACACACACACCTGTTCTCCGCTGCCCTCTCACACTCCTCTTTGTCCTTGCTGGTCTCCTCCTCCAGCGTCCAGATGGCGAGCTCTATCTCTTTGTCGCGTTCTCTTCGCAGTTCTTCTTTTAGCTCGCGCTCACGGGTCAGCAGCCATGCTTCCTGTGGACGCACAGAAACACGCATGCTGTTAGTCTACACACACGGTACTGAATTCCAACACTGTCAGTTCAGCCTCATCTGTCGTCGCGCCCTTTTTCATTCTTTTCCCGCTGTCAGTGTTTCCGCTTTCTCTGAGAAACAGGTTCATGTTTTGCTACAAATCCACAGTTTGATTTGAGAAGAAAGTTGGAGGGTAGAGGTCAGCTGGAAACCTGCCACATCCCTGTGTTGTGACATAAAAAGGAAAAAAAAACAAGCTCTGCTTTTCTCCTATTCACACGAGTGACGCACATTTCAACATTTCTATCTGAAACTGATACACAAACTGGAAAAAGGAAAGGGAAGGGATAACACTCCCAGGCAAACAAGCAAGAGAAGGTAACCTAGATATCTACATGTCAGTTAGTCGAACACTTCCCACTGACACAGTATACAGCAGCCACACTTCAATCTGAAGAAAAGAAGAAGCGAATGCGAGCAGACAAACCTCTTTCTTCTTGTAGTTTTCTTCCCACGTCTGCTTTTCGATGTCCAGACGCTCCTGTAACGCCTTCATTTCCACCTAAACGCACAAACAACACTCATTGTGAGACTTTCAGATGGATGCTCGTGATGCTGACAGAACGCAGACTCATTTCAGGCTCTTGACGCGGCTCTGCAGTGTTCACAGTCCTCACCTGATGTCTCCTCTCCTGCTCCTCCCTGGTCTTGTCCAGCTCTTCTTTGAGGGCTCGTCCAGCCAGAGAGCTGTTCTCCTCCAACTGCCGCCGCAGATCCTCCAGCTCAGCACGCTGCCTGTGACACAAACACAAACCAGTGCGTTGGAGATGGACAGAAACATCAACACTCATCCCATATGCCAAAAAACTGTTGACTCATTAAGGACGTGTTATATGGGAAAGGATCCTGTAAAGATCCA